TATTACGTATTTCAAAGGAAAAAAGGGGTTCAATTTTTACCTAAATGGTGACTTATTTGAGTTGATTGAGGTATTCTACGACTCTTCTTTGATTGAATTGTACCTGTTGGCCTACATTAGTTTTGGAGCGTAACACACACATCGATCGAGAACGAATTTTTAGGAATACATCATAGTGGATTTGAAATTTTGTTTCTTCTCCTAAGGTATAACATGTATCGAATATAGCTGGATCATAAAAGCTTGTATTTTGTTTATCAACAGAGGATCTCGAGCGTATAAAAGTTGTTTTATTTTTTAAGCACCAGAACGTCGACAATTTGACGCTGTCTGCAAATATATTGATTCTTGGTCAGTTGGAGCGACATGATCAAGTAAAAGGCTTTCTTCAACATAAAATGATGATAGTTTCCAAAATTCTCATATGTAATGGAAAAATATTGGCTTCTACACAGTTAGTTTCCGTTCTTACTCGACTGCAATAGAAAGCCCAATATGCAGTAAATAATTATCCGCATAAACTAATAGCATGGTTACGAATGCATTCAGTGGTATTTGTTACTAAACGAGTAGCATTTGAATTTTGGTGAATGTGGTATATAAAAGCCATATAAACTTCTACAAGCCTTAAATGCGTAATATCTTAAACTAAATTTTTTTAACATCCATTTTGACACTTTCACAGTTTGCAACGTTATTCGAACACGATATCAACCTTGCGTTCAGGTCAATACAACCACACAAACGACGTGTCGAACAATTGTTATTCTAAAGACCACTTAAAAAAGTTGAATTCCGCAATTAGTTGAGTTGTAATTAGCTTTTGTTGACTGGCAAGTATGTATGGGTGTTTTTCGGTATCTAAGGCCTATCGTCAATCATTAGACTACTTTGCCCAACCCATTGTTTGTTCTTAGTAGCACTGAACTAACTCAGTGGTCCAATACTATCCAGTTTGCTCTTAGGGGCAAGAGAAGGGGGAAGGGGGGTTCGACTCCATATTTTCATTCACTTTCGCGTGTGGGCTTCTTTCTTCAAAAGCATATGTTTCCTCTTTGTGCAAGTAAATAGACCTTTATTTTTGAGCAGTCCAAAAATTAATGACCTAAGAGAAGCATTTATTTCACTTCTCCAGTAGTTAAAAGGAAATCAAGTGAATAATCTAGTCATTTCAGAGAGCATTTTATCGGTATTGCCCTTTTGATGTTTGATTTTGAAATTTCGCAATCAATCAAAAATATTAAAATGTAAAATTTTAAGACTCCCATAATACTTTAAGAGACGAAAAGATACGGATCCTTTTAAACGAATGGTATAATTACGGAAACCCTTTCTCCTGAACGGCCATGAAATAGTGAAGTCAGTTCAATGAAGTGACGATATTCGCGTGTTACCTTCTCCTGCATGTACCTTCTCAGTTCCACCATCGACGAATTATGGCAGCAGAGGACTCAAACGGATGAAAGTGAGTTGCTATTCGTCAATCTCTGAGATCTCTTTCAAAATATCGTAAGTTCTGGGCTTTAAAAAGTCGTGGTATTTTGTTTTAGCCTTGCTCAGTCCTTTAGCAAAACACCAAGAGTTATCAACAGATCTATCTAGGTCGCGTTTGATTCGAATTCAGTGTGTTCGTCCACTATTACCCGATGCAGCTTAATGGAAAATTTACCTGGCTGACAGAGTAACACTGACATTTACGGCTTATTATAGTTGAATACCGTAAGCATATCTGGATGTTTCTGGGTGTCTAAGGCCTGACGACAGTATTTAGGCAAAGCGAAGGTGAACAGGCATTGCCTTTAGTTAATCTTTAAGGAACAGTTTACCACAACATTAAGAATCCTTTACAATTCAGAGAATTGTTTTTGAGGTTAAATCCAAAGAAAACTTTGCTTTTTTGATAGAGCTAGAGCGTAAAACTCAAACGGAAAAGGCAAAAATTTAGACGGTCAGATTTTGAGTAGACTGAATTAACACACAATTGTGTGTCTCCGTTTCACCCTCGTAGACATATGTTTACCTTTTCTCGAAAAATCCTCGTCTGGTGATGGATATTTCCGTTTCTAACATAGGGTCAACAAGCATTCAGTTTCCGTTGTAGCCGCCAGCCTCACCATAAACTTATTTCCTCACACAATTTCAATATCACAGTATCAAACGGACGGGTTGTGAAGTAAATTGCGTACACTGGACAAGCTGGCATGGCATAGGATTTGATATAACATCACGTTTTTAGCTAACAGAGTCACTATAGGGAAATAATGGCAGAAAGTCTGGACAATATTTAGTTCTTAGCAGATAAAGATTTAGAAACCATGCCACGCAACACGTTAACAGTTTAGAATCATTTGGAACAATTGATTGGCGTTTGAGGAATTTAAAAACATCAACAACAACATCACTTGTGATGACCATAGGAACCATGCAGTTTGACCCTGTAAAAGTACAATATTTGATCTACTATATGACAAATGAAGACACCATGTATCAGAATTACCGTCATGATGCACTGATATTTCCTCCTGAATTTTCCAAATTCTAGAGATGGCCGATCAGATTGATATCCATGTGACCTACAAGGATTCAAAGCGCATCATTTCCTTTCCAAAAGGAGAAGTTGTCGAGGACTTTGCCATTCGTTTTCTTGAAGCCTTCGC